TTGTACTAAAGGTACTTGCCAAAGCAATATCATAAGAAAATGAAATAGCATACATATTGAAAAGTAAGGAAGAAACCTTTATTTACATATTATTTGATTATCTAGAAAGCCTAAGAGAATAAACTGTAGAAAAATTACTTAAGGTCACCCCCACCAGTCCTTCACAGAATAGTGACATTCTCTCCATAAAGAAAAAAGGTAAATAACTTCTAAAGGAATGAAATAATCTGTCTATAAGATGTTCACGGAATGTTGGTTGATGCCCTTCATCATTTGGGAAAAGGCCTGGGCTTTCTGCCTCTTCTCATTCTTGCATCTTAAATAGAAGCATGATACAACATTACTTGCTCCAGAGAGCTTGCATTTGCTCCAAATTAATCAATTTATTCCTTTTTTCATAAAGACAAATAGCCAAACAAGGATATCTGTATACTTGAGAAAAATTATCAATAAAAAGAAAACCCAAGTTTGGCAAAGTGGCTCATCCCTATAATTCCAGCACACTGATAAGCCAAGGCAGGAGGATTGCCTGATGCTAGGAGTTCAAGACCAGCCTGAGCAAGACAGTGAGACCCCATCTTTACAAAAAAAAAGAAAGTTTTTAAATTAGGGGGGCATGGTGGTGTGCACCTGTAGTACCAGCTACTTGGGAAGCTGAGACAGGAAGATTACTTTAACCCAAGAATTTGAGGTTACAGTGAGATATCTTGTCATTGCACTCTTGCCTGGGTGACAGGATGGCAAAGTGAGACCTCATATCTAAAAAAAAAAAAAGAGAAAAATATATGTGAACAAATAGAACAGTTGACCATATAATGAATAAATAATCCAGTAAACATCACGAAACATTAAGAGTTCCGATTTCCCTCAGAAAACTTAAGAAGATAGTTGTTCAATAAAACAAAAACTACATTCTATAAAAATCAGGGAACGAAAAAGAATGCATGGAATAAAATAAATAATTAAAGTTAAAAGCTGAATAGAAAAATAAAAATAGAATAAAATGGAAGAGATAGGAAATAGGAAAGAAAAAACTGGAGATAAATGGAGTCAATTCAGGAGAGTCAACATGAAATACACATTCTAAAGCAGTGGAAAGAAAAAATAAAGGGGGAAATAATCTAAGAAATATCAAAAGTTCCCACTATTTAAATATCTTCAAATTGAAAGGTCCCAATGAAAAGAAATGCACATTAGACACATCCTTGTGAAATTTGAGATTGGCAAATATAAAGTGAACATCTCGGGTGGCGCCTGTGGCTCAAATGAGTAAGGCACTGGCCCCATATGCTGGAGGTGGTAGGTTCAAACTCAGCCCTGGCCAAAAACTGAAGAAAAGAAAACAAGTGAACATCTCCACTGTTTCTAAAGTGAAAAAAAATATATATCTATTATTAAAAATAATGTGGATATGGTTTATGTGAAACTTCTCACCTACAGTGCTAGATGATAGAAGATAAAGACAATGCCTTCCAAATTTTAAGATAGTTTTCAATCTAGAATTCTATACCAGGCTAAACTGTTTATATAATGTATGCAGATGAAATGGAAATATTTTCAGATGCTACTTAAGGTCTTTGAAAATTAGCCTTTCATATATTCTTCCTTAAAAAAAGTAACCTACTGATTATGTGAATAATGCAGCTTCTGCTCACAAAACAAACAATAACAACCAAAAAATCTCTAAAAATGTGGGGGTAGGGGGATAAATAAGAAAAACACCATTCTAAAATTAAAATGAGGTAAATATGGGGCAAATTAAAATGTGGTATGATTTTGAATAAGAAGAAAAAATAATGTTGACTTTGATACTAAAAACATTCTCCTTAGAAAGGTACATGGTACTTTAGTAGAATTGTATTCCCTATGTTGCTACCTACAGCCATAGTGAATAAAGTTAATATAATTAAAATTATCAGGTGTTATTTATTGGATTTCCATTTTTAGAAATGAAAAATTTCTAAAACTCATCTTCAGTCTGTCAGTATCCTCTTCATCTTCTTCAGGCTTTTCCTTACTACTTTCTTCATCTTCTCTTAATAGAACTCTTAGGACTCTCAAATGAATTCTAGAAATTGATTTTTGGCATCAATTTCTTTTTTTTCTTTTTTTCTTTTTTTTATTTGTATAAATTTTTAGGTTACACTGTTCTCACTTCCAAGGCAAAATTCCAGTTGTAAAAGAGGCCTTCACCCAGGGTCCGTGCTAACACCTTCACATTGTGCACGTTAGGTGAGATTCCGCCAATTGCCCTCACTCCTCCCGCCAATTGCCATCCCTCTCCCCTCTCACTCCTCTCTCCTCTCCTTTCCCCCTTGTTAGATTATATTTGTGTTTTACCATTCATATGGGCATGTATTTATTTATATATTGGTTTCATATTAGCATTGAGTACATTGGATTTTTTTTTTTCTGTTCTTGAGATACTTTAATAAGAAGAATGTGTTTCAACTCCATCCAGGTATACATAAAAGATGTAAAGTCTCCATCTTTTCTTATGGCTGAATAGTATTCCATGGTGTACATATGCCACAGTTTGTTAATCCATTCATTGGTTGATGGGCATTTGAGTTGCTTCCAAGAGTTGGCAATTGTGAATTGAGCTGCATTAAACATTCTGGTGAAAATGTCTTTGTGGTAAAATGATTTTTGTTCTTCTGGGAAGATACCAAGTAATGGGAATGTAAGATTAAATGAAAGGTTAACTTTTAATTCTTTGAGAATTCTCCATACTTCTTTCAATAAAGCTTGTATTAGTTTGCAATTCCATGATTTTTGGAATCAATTTCTACATGAAGCACTAAATACTTAACTCGATTACAGGACAGAAAAGTAAATGTCATAATATTGGAGACAAAAATTTGGAAACTGAAGGGCAGTGCTTGTAGCTCAAAGGAGTAGGGAGCCAGCCCCATATGCCAGAGGTGGCGGGTTCAAACCCAGCCCTGGCCAAAAACTGCAAAAAGAAAAATTGGAAACTGAAAAGAGGGAAAAATTAGAAGGCAGAGTAAGGACATCCTCTCAAGGGGGGATCAAAACATACATCTAAAGAGGACAACTCAATAGGTAGAGATTTGAGGATAGCATTAAAAGTTATAGACATTCAATTGCAAAATTAAGAGTAAAAATATGACTAAAACTGGGAACAGGCAGAAAAGAAAGAGATGAAGAATGATGTAAGTTAGTTAAGCTCCTTATCACTGGCAAGAAAGAGGAACCAAATATGACAAGGGTCAAAAGTGGCTACCTTTTACTTTTGTTCTGTTACTTTCTAAACTACTGCTATTGGGAAAAACACCATTTTAATATAGAAAAAAGGTTAAATAAACTGGTTACTATGAAATACCATGTGGCTGTTAAAAATAATGAGATGTAGATTATGATATAGAAGCAAACTTAAATATATTTCTAATTTTTTAAATAAGTTGTAAAAAATAAAATGATCCAACTTATGTTTAAAATAAAATATCATTAGATATATAGAGAAAAACATCCAAAAGTACTCTAACCAAATTGTTAACCACAATTATTTCCAGGGCGGAGGTAGAAATAGAGATGGGAGTACGAAGGGAAACGTCCATGTTTACCCTTTGTGATGGTATAAAATTTGATTTCTTTATTAAAAAATGAATTTCTTTTTAAAATTATATAATTTAATCTTTCTAATTAAGACACAAATTAAAAGAGCTTATAAGTAGAGCCAGAGAGGTGAACAGAATTTCAACTGGAACTAAGGTGCCCACAACTTGTAGTATGGATTCATCCCACCATAATCGTGATGATTCTCAGAAAATTAAATCTTGGGATTTTAAAAAAAACTGTCAAAATACAAGTGAAAAGAAAAAGTAGTATGAGGACCAAATAATTTTAACGTTCTTTAAGAACTGAGAAACCCTGCCCCATGGCCATGCTTCTTTCCCAGAGAAGGGAGCCTGTGCAGGAGCAGGAATAGTCGGTCCCCTATCTCTTCATCTGCCCTCTGGGCCCACAAGTCCAAATCCCAGATCCAGGCACCTTTCAAGGGACTAAAGGCCCAATTATTTAGAAAGATTAGGGAATAGCCAACTAATCAGAAGATTACAGGCAAGACATGATGAGAAGGCAAATAGTGAAGAAGGGCTGGGAAAGGAGAGGGTGTTGAGCATCATTTAAGATGATAATCCTTGGTCACTTGATGGGCAGGAATGGAGGGCCAGGAGTCGAGAGACCTCCCGTGTTCAAGATAAACCCTCAGGTGCAGACTGGAGGGCGGTGCTCTAATTCAGACATGGAATGCTGCGGGGAGAACACTGGCAGAGTTCAGTTTTGTGCAAAGTGAACTATAATACTTAAAGCCTATACAACATGACTTAGTCCCAATATCCTGTCATGGTCTTTAATAATCGTTTGTGTATTATCCTTGTTTCCTTAGATAGACCACAGCCTCCAGAATGGCATTTACTGTTCTACGTAGTGTTAGTACAGTGCCTTATACAAAATGATGATAATAGCCATACTCACACACTAATAGCAATAATAGCAATCACTTAGATACTTACTATGTGCCAGACACTTTTCTAAGGGCTTTCCTTGCATGTATTAACTAATTTTAATGCTCCCAGCAACCCTGTGAGTTAGGTACCTTTATTATTCCTGTTTTACAGGTAAGAAATCTGATCTTGTCCCAGTTAATACAGCTAGTACCCATTTTAGGCTCTTTAACCTGCATTACATATTGTTCCTAAAGACCATCAAAATCTTGTAACATTTTGGCAATCCTAGATTAATCATATTTAATATCTTGTCTTTTTATTTACTAATGGGATAACTATGATGTCAGCATCCTAAAGGTATTAAATTTCTTGGTGGCAGACAATTAAAACTTTACTATGTTACTAGGTAAATATTACCGTTCAATATGAATATCCAGTTACTACGAAACATTCGCAATGATTTGTTAACGGTATCATTCGTTGCACATTTTGTATGTATATAGTAAAGGGGAATATTTTCTTCCTTAGAGTTCCTATAAAGACGATGAAGAAGTTAGTGAGGAAGACCTTGAAGATGATGATGAGGACATTGAAAACATCCTTGAAGACGAGTTTCCAAAAGATGAGGAAGAGATGAGTGAGGAAGATGAGCAGGAAATTGACGCAATTGAACACCTGAGAAGTGAACTGGGAGAAAAATTTGAAGCAGATTTGCATAATTTACAAAGTATACAGGTAATTACTTTTCCTTCATTTTTTTTTTTTTGAGACAGAGCCTCAAGCTATCCTCCTGGGTAGAATGCTGTGACATCATAGCTCACAGCAACCTCTAATTCCTGGGCTCAAGCAAGTCTCCTGCCTCAGCCTCCCAAGTAGCTGGGACCACAGGCACCTGCCACAATGCCCAGCTATTTTTTGGTTGCAGTTGTCATTGTTGTTTGGTGGGCCCGGGCTGGATTCGAACCTGCCACCTTAGGTGTATGTGGCTGGCGCCTTAGCCACTTGAGCCACAGGCACCAAGCCATTCCTTCATTTTTCATAATTCAAAAAGTAATGCCTGAGAATGAGACACAAGCGATTTGGTTTATACCTTATTTCAACAGAAATGTATATTTTAGGGCTATATGCCTTTGGTCAGTACCATTTAACAACTATGCAAACAAGCTCACAAACATGGAGGCCAGACACAGTATAGTCCCAGCTCTTTGGGAGTCCCAGCTCTTTGGGAGACTGAGGCATAAAGGTCACTTGAGGCCATAAGCTTGAGGTTACTGTAAGCTTTGATGAAGCCACTGCAGTCCAGCCTGGGTAATAGAGCAAGACCCTCTGATCATGTCTCAAAAAAAGAGAAAAGGAAAGGAAAAAAACAAGCCACCCAGGGTCAGTAAGTGTAGCTGCCAAACACAGCCACTTGGAAGCTGGAAAGTATGAAGGAAGTCATCAGTCACCAGCAGTGTCTCTGTGCTGTGATTGAATATTCCCAGCCTTTTCTGCCACTAAATATATTTGGTTTTATGATTCTCTCATCAGGAGGAATTTGAGAGGCTTTTGGTACCAATAATGCTCATTAACGGATCTCGGAAAATCCACATTGTACAATACATTTTGAATACGAAAGTGAAACCACTGGTGGAAAATCGAGCAAGCATTTTTGAGAAATGTTATCCAGTATCTATACACACTGCCCAGAAAATGCTTGGCCTTACCTACAAGTATATAAGTTCATTTGGCTATTGGGACCCTGTAAAGGTAATGTCAGCAAATGCATCGGAAACCAATGCTCTTCCCTTGTATTTTTTTTTAAAAAGGTGTGTCAAGGAAGAAGACTGGATAATATCAAAAATTGTAAGGATTATGTAGTATTCTGTCCTGGCTATAAAAACACTTGGAATTTGTAATGGAATCATTAAACTTTTGGCTTTTCTTTTATTACCAACTAGATGACATAGGGCAGACACCCTCACCCACCTGAGATTCCTCCTTGTTTGCTTCCAATCATGAACTATACTCCAGCCCGAGAATGATGATGTTGACACTACCACTGACCTTTAACAACTGTCATGGGGTAGCCCTTAGGAGAAGCAATGTTTACCGTACTGTTTCACACCTACTGTCTCAAGTTCAGGGACAGCTGATGCTATAAAAAATATTCGAACCTGGCACTCAAACCTCATCATCACCAGTGCAAAGATGTGGGACCACTCCTCCCACTCCATTCCATTCCCATACCTCAGGGTATTTTTCCCTTTCCTGAACGCTCTGAACATTTATGTGAGTAGGATTTCATCTGTACAAAAATGCAGGCGAGAATGCTGTGGAATTTGCCATACCAACACCCTCCGCCCCAAATAATCCAAGAACCTATTTGTATCAGTCTGCTCTGTCTACATTAACAATATACTACAGACTGGGTAGTTTAAACAACAGAAATTTATTTCTCCCAGTTGTAAGGCTAAAAGTTCAAGATCAAGGTGCTGGCAGGGATGGTTTTCTGGCGAGACCTGTGCCCCCAGCTTGCAGATCCTGCCTTGTGGCTGTGCCCTCACATGGTCTTATTTCTATGTACTCACCAGGTGTCTTCCTCTTCCTGTAAGGACTCCAGTCCTATCAGATTAGGGTCCCATCCTTATGAGCTCAAGGACTCTAACTGCCTTTTTATTAAAGGCCCTATCTTCAAATATAGTCACTTTGAGGGTTGGGTCTTCAACATATACATTGAGGGGTGCAGGAGAGAAATTTCAATCCATAACACCACCTCAGGAATGGACCTGTTTACCAAGATAAATTGGACTACGAATAACTGCAAACAACCTTATAGCCCCCTGGCAAAAACAGCCAGCACATGCTAAAGAGGTTATAACAGAAGTAGAATAACTATAATTGTCATAAACTGAAAGTTAAGAAATATTACATTGATTGCATGTGAGTGGAAACTAATTTGCACTTTTTCATAGTTATCTAATATTACTATTGCATTACAATTAGTTTTCTTTTCTGTAAGAAGAAATTGTTTCTTATTTTACAAATTTTTTTTTCCCAAATGTCTTTGGAGGAAATGCTGTTTCAATCAAAAGTAACTCTTGAATTCAATTGTGTGTATGTTGCAGCTAAGTGAAGGAGACACAATCAAGCCAGTTCAAAATTCAGAGAATCCAATTTATCCTGTAATTCATCGTCAGTACATTTATTTTTTATACAGTAAGGAAACCAAAGATAAATTTATGAAGAACCCAATCAAATACATCCGCCAACCCAAACCTAAGCCTACTGTGCCTGTTAGGATTATCATTGTGGGGCCTCCAAAATCTGGGAAAACTACAGGTGAGCCTGTTTGCCTCTTTTTTTCTCAAACATAAAAAGATCCTCTGGGCTCGGCGCCTATAGCTCAGCTGGCTAAGGCGCCAGCCACGTACACCTAAGGTGGAGGGTTCGAATCCCCAGCCCGGACCCGCCAAACAACGATGGCTGCAACCAAAAAATAGCCGGG